TGGAGAAGCGAGAAAGGGCAAAACGTAGACCTTTTAAAACTTCCCAACCGTGAACCGGGCTGACTTTGACCGCCTTTTGTAGCTATTACTCGCTATTAGTGTCATTATAAAAATTGTAATGGCTAAGGCTAGTTTCAATAAAAAATGACCCCAATCCTGAAAAATAGAAACATCTCAATGACCAGTAAAATGAACGTTATGAAATGTTATGTATGATCAACCCTTCTATATGGCTGTAAATGCTGGACAATCACATAAGACAGACAAAATAAAATAGAAGCAACAGAAATATGGTTTCTTAGGAGATTGCTTAGAGTAGAGGAAGGAAAAGAAATCAAATGAGGTAGTGCTTGATGAAGCCCACGTGGGACACTCAATTATAAAAACAATCAGAAAACGACAAATGCAGTTTTTGGGACAGCTTAATAGACATAAGGGTCTAGAACATCTAGCTTTCACTGCCAAAATTGAAGGCAAACGAGGCAGAGGTAGGCCCAGAACAATCTACTCAGGGAACCTTAACAAATGGGTAACAGAGAAAGATCAGGGAAATGTAGCTTTTTTAGAGCATCCGAGCAAAGGAATAAATGGAGAACCGTTATCGGCGATGTCTGTCGCAGATCTGGCAATGAATGATGGTGAGTGTTCGTCCAGTATAAAGCCCTGTAAACTAATAGTTCTTGTTTAAGATTAGGGGGCCCGAAAGTGTGCATACTTTTCAAGAGGCAGTCTGCTATTTCTACAGATATTGACCATTTTAGTTTTAGGGGTTGGTCTGTGTCACCCCAGCATTGGGGGATCTGAAGGGGTTTGGGGATGAGTGGGTGTTGGGAACATAGGAGTGTATGAGGGTGAGAGGGCGTCTGTGCATTTGGTACAAAAATTTGGGAAAAAAGGAGTAGAGGGCTAGGAGGTTGTTTTCAACAGTTTTCCCCACCCCTCCCCATTGAATTTGTTTATGTAGGTACGTTGTGCTGGATGGTGTGTTGGTAATCGCATGAGATGTCCGAACCATTTAATTTTTTGGTGTTGGAGGTGATGCATAACATCATTGTGCCCACCATTTCTCTGATTACTGAGTTTCTAATTTTGTCTCGCCTGGTCTTGTTTACTGCTTTTCTAAGGCATCGCATTTCACATGTTGTAATTCTTTGCTCTAATGTCTTGTTTAGCATTGATAGGTGAGTGTTGGGATGAATATGGGGTTGATTATTTTGGGTTTTGTTGTCATGGGGATGTTAGATGTTTCAATAGTGCAGTAAACTGGTAACTAACATTATTGGCCGTTTGTACTCGTGTTTCAATGTCTCTATCCAGTCGCCCGTCTTCTGTGAACATGCTTCCGAGGTACTTAAATTCTTGGACCATTCTGAGACTGTTGTTCTTGATGTGTACCCTGAGTGGTCCTGGCTTTCTGCTTACTTGCATGTCCCTGTTTCGTTGATGTTGATCTTCATGTCGTAGTTGTTACATTCTTCGTTTAATGTGGTTGTGTGTTGTTGAAGACTTTGTTCATCTTTGTGTGCAAGGCTTTGGTTGTTATTATTATTATCATTATTAGTAGTCGTACAATTATTATTATTATTATTATTATTATTATTATTATTATTATTATTATTATTATTATTATTATTATTATTATTATTTATCATTATTATTACTATTATTGTTATCATCATTATTATAATAATAATTATTATTATTATTACTTTTATTGTCACCATTATCATTATTATTATTATCATTATCATTATTATTAAAATTATTATTATTATTTATTACCATTATTATTATCATCATTTTTACTATTATTATTATTATTATTATTATTATTATTATTATTATTATTATTATTATTATAATTATTATTATTATTATATGCAGTATGTTTTCCCACACTTAAGGTTAGCAATGATGACGATGTTGATGTCCTTCCCCATACCCACAGACTGTACAACGCCATCACTTTCGCCCGCTACACTTTGATGACCTTCTGCTCGTCCTTGAACTTGCTGGTGTACGTTAAGTTCAACACCAACTTCCGCCAAACGCTAGCAAATATGTTCTCTAGCCGGGCCGACACAAACGCCTGGGAATAGATGGTGATGATGATGATGATGATGATGATGATGATGATGATGATGATGGTGATGATGATGATGATGATGATGATGATGATTCGTTCCCCACGAATGATTCCAGGACTTCTATTCAGACTCTACTGTGCGTCTCCAGGTTACTTTGAGTCTGCCTCTTTTGCGACGTCCTTCGGGTGTCCAGTGGAGGGCAGTCTTCACAATAGAGTCTGGTTCTCTTCTCAAACCATGTCCAATCCATCTCCATCTTCTCCTTTTTATTATGGTGGTCATGTCCTCTTGCTTACATTTACGTAACAGATCTGCGTTGGAAATCTTGTTGGGCCAGAAGATTCTGAGGATTTGGCGTAAGCTAGTTGTATGAAAGGAAGATAGCTTGGCACGGTCATGATCAGTCATCCTCCAGCATTCAGCTCCGTATAGGAGTGTGGATAGTATACAGCTAATATACAGCTTTAACTTTGTTTCTATACTTTAGTCCTGACTTCCAGATGTTGATCATTCTTCTGTGTACAGATCTTGCCTTGGCGAGTCCGTTCATGATGTCTTCTTTTGGGCCGCCGTCAGTTTTGATTATGCTGCCTAGGTAGGTAAAAGTGTCTGTTATAGGGAGGTCTGTGTTGTTCACCCTAATCAGCGTTGGAGAGCTTACATTCAGTGTCATCACTTCTTTCTTCTTCTGGCTTATTCTTAACCCAATCTGTCGTCCGTATTTGTGGAGTCGTTTATTTTTTTCCTGCATGTGCTGGTTGGTATGGGAGAGTAGTGCAAGGTCGTCGGCAAAGTCAAGATCCTCGAGGGTGGAGAAGAGGGTCCACCTTATGCCTCTTGATGTATCCTCTGTTGTTTTCCTCATGACCCAGTCAATGGCCAGGTTGAACAGAATTGCTGACAAGTTGCATCCTTGTCTAACTCCTGTCTTTACCTCAAAAGCAGTGGTACTGTTTCCAACAACGCACTTGAAGTTTTGGTGGAAGCTCTTGGTGACCTCTACTATCTTGTAAGGGATTCCATAAGATCGTAGAATGTATCAAAGACTTTCTCTATGCACACTGTCGAATTTTTTTTTTCAAAATCAACGAAGTTGACATAAAGTTGTCTCTGCCATTCCGTGCACTGTTCTATTATGTTGCGGAGGGCAAATATCTAATCTGTGCATCTTCTTTCTTTGCGGAATCCTGCCTGTTCTTTTCTTAAGCAGCTGTCCACGGCATCCGACATCCAGTTAACAATAATCTTTGCCAGGATTTTGCTGGAAACTGATAGCAACATGATACCTCTCCAGTTGTTGCAGTCTCTTAGAGCTGCTTTCTTTGGTACTTTAACAATGAATCCAGTGCTCCAGTCCTCGGGAATCTGCTCTCCCTCCCATATGGTTTTGAATAGTGGATGAAAAATGGTGAGAGTCAGTTCTGGGTCTACTTTAAACAATTCAGCCTTCAGGTTGTCCATTCCTGGAAATTTTCTTGATTTCAGGCTCTTAACAGCTTTTACAATCTCGTGTTTCTGTCGTGGGTCAGAACTGATATGCAGATCCAAGGTAGCTCCCTGTATGTCTAGGGTGTCCTCAGGTGGAGGTTGGTTTAGGACATCCCTGAAGTGTTCTGTCCAGCGTGCTTCTAGTTCCTTCTCGATTGTCAGCAGCTTGCCAGCCTTGTCTTAGATTGGTCCACTCATTTCACCGTGATACTTACCACATATTATTCTTGTGATCTTGTATACGTTGCCTTGGTCATTTTTAGCAGCTACCTCCTTTGCCTCAGTTGCCAACTTTTCCATGGGTTCTCTTTAGTCCTTCCTGACCAGTCTTTTAACTTTCTGGCAAGCTTCCTTGTAATCCTCTGCGTACTTCTCCTGTAGCCGTATCTACTTAGCTGCAAAATGTCTTTTCAGTTTCCACGCTGCTTACATTTTATTTTCACAAGCTATTAAGTTTACTCTTAAAATTAAAATGCTCGGGAAAGTAAAGCCGTTTACAATACCGCATCTTGCCTTTACAGCGACGTTAAACCCCTGACTAGCAACCAACACATTCTATGATTCCATCGAGATGACACAACCCCCCTCCCCCTTTTCATAATAATAATATGCTGTAGGCCTACATTTTTTCTCCCAAGGAAGGTGTACTCTGATGACCCCCCCCCCCTCCCCTCTAAAACTTTGAATAAGTCACCTAAAAGCAGGCCTTCTGTAATTAGTATTTAGAAGATAGCTTGCAGTTACATGCGATTTCGTATTCCCACCTCAAAGCCAAGGTAGCCCTATGCGATAGAAGAAACAACGTGAGAGACCATAAATGATATCAAATTCACATGTGTGGACAAAAAAAATAGCTGATTTGATGTGTGAAGTGATATCACTGTTATGAAATCAAATCACGTGGGTCAAGGTCAAGTCAGTCATATCAACGATAGGTCTACGATAGGCCTAGATTTAGTGTATGAAATAATCCAATATAACCCAATGAGTTTACTGGCGGACGTATTTGATATAGATCTAACGACAAAACATAATATAAATCAATTTGAAAAAAAAAAAAGATTGAAAAGTAGTCTAGCCTTATCCAGAAGTTCAAATAGGGCCCTACAGGCTTAATATTGTTACTTTTTATGCGTTAGAGAACGTAGACAGCTTGTATACATTCTCTAACGTTAGAAAACGTAGACACTTCCATAAATAAATAAATAAATACATAGAGGATACATAAATACATAAATACATACACTCATACATGTTGTTGTTGTTGTTGTTAGCGATCCAGTAGCATCTGAGCGTTAACTCTTCTGCATGATGCCGTTCGGTAATAGTTGCATGTTTGTTCTAATTGTTGTCTTGAGGAGTAGAGGCAATTAAATGTGTGGGGTAGCTTAGGAAGAAAACATCCCCTTAAATCAGTTAGTTTTCTACAGAAGAACAGATGATGTTCCACTGTCTCTGAGGGGTAGTCACATAGTGGGCAGGCAACAGACTGCTTTACTCCAATTCGGTTGAGATGTTGGTTGAGGGGTACATGTTGTGTTCTAAGTTGGAAGATTATGGATTGATCTCCCCTCCTCAACTCATTGATTGGATCTTTGACCAGTGGTTTATTCATGTGGCCATACATCCTCCTTCCTCATACATAAATAAATAAATAAATAGATACATAATTAAATAAATAAATAAATAAATTAGCCGTGCAGTCCCGGCATCGAAAAGAATAGGACTGACGTGGTGCTAGCGTGTCGTAGGAGGCGACTAATTAATGGCGAAACCAGGTAGTGACTCCCGAAACAGAGTCATCCTCCCTCCAGGTCGAGGGTTGAGTCACGAGGCTAACAACCTCTCTCGTAAAAAATAACCTGTTATAGAAACTTGGCTGGTCGTGGATTTTCTCCCAATGGAGAGTTTAGGATGCGAGGCAGTGAAAGCAGAAAGGAAGCTGCTGGGCAGAAGCCTCCTCCATCATCCAAGTCCAAGTCTCTCCGGATTGGATCGTGGAACGTAAGGACCCTTTATGAGGCTGGGGATGGTATACACCTTCAGAAAGCCCAACGGAAACATCACAAGACAGTCACTGCAATGGAACCCACAGGGAGCACGAGGCAGGGGTAGGCCACGAGAAACATGGAGGAGATGTGCGGAAAGGGAAATGAGAGTGATGAATCTCACTTGAAACGAGCTAGGAAGGATGGCCTAGGACAGAGATAAATGGAAGGAGTTTGTATGTGGCCTATACCCTGCCAGGACTGAAAGGCACTGACGATGATGAAATAAATAAATAAATAAATAAACAAATAAATAAATAAGATTCGTGCTCCCTGGAGGGTTTTTAGCTAGCTGTGATGTAATTGTGTCTATGATGACGTAAGTAGCATAATATATATGTATAAAGATCCACAAAAATAGGGGGGGGGAGGATAAAAATAGGTGTACCATGCCGAGTGTTTTGCTCGCCAACAACGTGGGCAACGTGTCAAAGAGTACTGGAGACAATAAATGAATGGTGGAGTTGAATTTGTACGTGAAAACTCTCTTTGGTTGGATTTTTTTTTTCTTTTGTTGCTTTTTAAAATAAATCTATTTCCCCTTTTTTATTTTGTTAGTTGGTGTTTTTTTGTGAGTATGTGCTTTTTGTTGATTGCTGTTGTTGTTTGGGGTTTTTTAAAGTCTGATTTTGTTTTTCATTAGACCTTTATCATTCACATCTGGCTCGGATATTTTTTCTGTCGACTGTTGTATGCGTCATGTGTGTGTGCGTGTGTGTGTGTGTGTGTGTGTGCGTGTATGTGTGTGTGTGTGTGTGTGTGCGTGTGTATATGTGTGTGTGTGTGTGTGTGTGAGTGTGTGTGCGTGTGTGAGTGCGTTTATTCACAAAGACAAACTGCTTCAAAGGAACGTGAACCGGCGTCTGTGGTGTAGTGTTTAGCCACTTCGCTGTTCACGCACCAGACGTGATTTTGATTCCCTCTCACCCCCCCCCCCCCCTTTCTCTCTCTCTCTCTCTCTCTCTCTCTCTCTCTCTCTCTTACATACGGGACATCCGCCCAATTCAGATACCACCACACTGACCGTACCTGCTCTCTCAAAGCGTCAAATTGAAAAAAAGTAAAGGGGTGTGGGGAGAGCTTGCACAGTGAGTATTTTGCTGAGCTTCATGGCCAACAACCCTGGTTCGATTCGAAAAAGGAGCTTTTTCATGTCTAAGACTTTTTAAATTGGTAGTAAAACACGTATATAAATCATAATTGTTGACATAACAACAGATACATAATCTATCATATACAAATTGTACATAAAATTGTAGAGGAAATAATAATATGCTTTGACACATTTTGCAGACATATCTGTGCATAGAGCAATGTCCCCAAAAATTTGGATGATCTGCAGTACAGTTGTTTAGTTGTTTTGCTACATATGTACATAGTAAATGTTATTCCTGATTTGTTAAAGGGGGGGGGGGGGGGCTACACCTGAAGGCTATCTCGCTTATTACTGGACCGAATTTTACCAAATTTCACATA